GGAATGCAAAGTAGAATGTCCTATAATATTTCTTTTTTCATTCGCTTTTTTGCTTCATTTCGGGGAATGCAAAGTAGAATGTCCTACAATATTTTATTTGTTTCGCTTCTTTGCTTCATTTCAGGGAATGCAAAGTAGAATGCCCTACAATATTTTTTTTTATTTCGCTTCTTTGCTTCATTTCAGGGAATGCAAAGTAGAATGTTCTACAATATTTTTTTTTATTTCACTCCTTTGCTTCATTTCGGAGAATGCAAAGTAGAATGCTGCATCGTAGTCAGATGAAAAAGAGAATGACTATCCAAAAATTCTTTCTCTACCGTTACTTTCTGTGGAAATTTGTCTCGCATAAAAATCATGTTTTGCTTTGTTCAATTTGCAGCGAAGTTGAAGTCAGTCAATGAAGTGAAGTACAAGAGTGAGGAAGCACAATTTTAAGCTTAATTAAATATGCATGTATGTACATACCGATTTTTAAGTAAAATCTAAATACCTAAATACATACATATGTATGTATAAAAACTGATTTATAAAAATTTTAATTAATTTTAATCTTTTAAGACATTTTCTGATTTCCATTTAATGTAAATAAGTATTTACTTATCTAGGCATTCTACATTTGTTTCTCTGTGAGGCATTCTTTGTGCGCTTCTCTGGATTCTGTTTATCCATGCGTTCTCCCTTCGTTTGAAGGTAATGCTGCGGGTAAGGTCTTACCGCCAATGACATGCCCATGTTAAAATAAGGCCTTCTTGAAGCGAAAGGGTAAGCGATTCCCATCGCCTAGCTCGTTTCCACTTTCGTTTCTGTGGTAATCGTGTTTTTTGCTGGGTTGGCACAGTTGTTGGCCTTGGTACAGCATACTAAATGGCCGAAAAATCGGACAATAATCACGCCCACATCCCATATAACGGTAATTTAGAGAAATACTAAATCTTCGATAAATCAGTAAATATTAAAGCTAATTTATTCAAAATTGATGCTTGGAACAATTCTTTACCAAGAAATACGTTTATGGTAAAATTTTGGAAAATGGGCGTGGCACCGCCCACTTATGATCACATATATGTATATCGGTAACCGTTCTACCAATTTGGTATTTTTATTGTGCTTGCCACTTAAAAGCAAAACGTTGAAAATTATTGAAATCGGACTATAATTACGGCCGCTTTTCATATAACGGTAAATTTCAGAAATGCTTGAAACTGTAATATTTCGAAATTTAAGGACGCTAATTTACTCAAAATTTATGCACCCCGGCTTACCATCTAGCGTTAGCTTTCGGAAAGGTGAAAAAACATATATTTAATACTTGCGCCGGG